GGAGGACATTATCCTGAAGCAGCTTACCAAACACACTTGGGTTTAGGGCTTTGTAGAGGATGAAGAGAGCCTTCAGCTGAAACCAGTTCAGCTGTTAATGCAAGTGAGAAGCTCTTTTCGCTAATAAAGCAGCTCTTCTCACCCTTATAGTGAACTGAAACCTCTCTGAGTCCCTGGCAGTGTGGAGGTTGTCTTCTCAGAAGAGTATTAACAAGGTCTGTGACTTCTGAAAGGGCAATGACTATCTCCCTGCTTCTGTTTCAGATTCCCCCTGCTTCTCCATATGCCCTCTTTTTTTCCCAAATACAGTTAAGTGCACTGTTATCACTTGTCTTCTAGATAGGTCCATTTTTTTTCCCCAACCGGGAGAATATTTTGCCTTTGCCTTGCCAAAATCCCCAGTGCAGGAGAATCTTCCACTTGCAGGTGGATACCCTGCTGGGTCTTTGGGGATAAGGTTGTTTGTCAGGAATGGGAGGGGTTGTCCCAGAACTGGGTAGGTGGTATGTTGCACCACTGCATGCACCTAGAAAGAACAGGGTCACTGGCCCCTGCTTTTCCATGCAGCTTTGGTGGGGCATGGTCCGAGTCTTGTGATGACTTGTGTAGCACAGTTTTAGAAAGAAATCTATAATCTCAGTCCCTGGGAGTTGGCGGGGGGGAGGGAAAGCTTAAAATGCTCCAAAACCAGAAAGCAAATGAAACTCCTCATAAATTTCTGTAAATCTTTTTTTTTTTTTTTTTAAGCTAGTCTCACAATCCTCATGTGCTCTGATTACCTGGGTTTGGCAGAGCTGAGACGAGGGCTTTTCCAAGCTTGTTAGTCTCCATTACAGCAAAGGGTAACAAACAATCCCTCAAATATTTTTCTGTCATATTGTTTATGGCTTTAAGTAGCACCCTTTACTTCCATTTTTGCAGCAGAAGCAATCAGTTCAGATAGTTGTTTTCTGCAACAGGTTTTAGATATGACTCATCCGGTGTTTATCTCAAACAAAGCATGGAACAGTACATTTAAACTAAGAAATTTAAAACTAAACAAACTGGATTGCCATGACAACACCTGCTACCTACAGGAGGACCTCTGTTTTTCTGAACATGCCAGACATGCTGAGAAGTGAAAAGAAACACTTGATACCCACTGAAATTTGGATTTCCATGTTCAATTTGCAAATAAAAAAAAAAATTTGCTCTGCTGTAATGCAAGTGCTGTTAACCAGCCTGGGGGAAAACTGATTGCCAATTAAGAGGCAGATTCTTTCAGTCACCTCACTAGTAGAATAGAATCATTTAGGTTGGAAAAGACCTTTAAGATCATCCCATCCAACTCCATCCAGAGTAGTACTCTGTCTTGCCCAGGATTAACTGATGGGGGGGAGATGTTACAGGTAGGGATTTTTCTCCCATGGAATTCCAGCAGACATGAAAAGCAATATAGAGAAGATCATTAATTTAAAATGTAATTCACTTAGTCAACTAATTAAAAGAAAATACTTTTGTTACTGTTTGCAGGTAGGCTGCTGAAGTGTAATTACCTCCTGGAATGATTCCATGAATCTTCGAGTCTTTTCCAAATTTGCAAATTATTCCCTTGAAGTGTCAGCTTTGGTGAGAGGGTTCTTCCAAAGTTTCTCCTGCATTTAGCTTTCTCCCTGGTTAGTCTTGTGATATGAGAGCCACACGGATGTAAAGGAATATCACAGAGGGTTCTTCCAAAGTTTCTCCTGCATTTAGCTTTCTCCCCGGTTAGTCTTGTGATATGAGAGCCACATGGATGTAAAGGAATATCATGTGCTTTTGAGAGCCATAAGTAAAAAGCAGAACTGAATTGTCAGTTACTATTATTAGCATCCTGTTATTTTCTCTTCCTAGTACCTAGAATAGCAATAGTTTGTAGTGCTTTATGTTATAGAGCCATCCATTGCATTCAAAGACAGGTTACCAATGCTGAAAGCATATCCAAATGATCAGAGCTCACTCAAGGCTTTCTTGCAGCTTACAAACTCCTGCTAAAATCGGGCAGCACCCTCCTGGATCCTCCTTCTGTGTCTGCTCTTGGCACGCACATGTTCAGTGGGGGCATTCAGGTTTGACAGTGAGAGATATGGCCAAGGGTTCTCCAGTAGGACGTCTGAAGAGGCAAACCAGTTGACGGTACATAGATGGTAATGACTGTTCCAGGCTTTAAAATAGTTCACTGCTGTTGGCAGAGCATCTTTAAGATACTAATTATTGCCATAATGGAACGGACCAATTGTCCCATCTCTTTTGGGACCTGCCTCTGGCTCACGAGGAAGACGGAAACCCCACAAGCACAGGGGAAAAAGAGACTTGTTTACAAACCTGTCTTCATCAGTGCGTGTCCTGGAGCCTGTCTTCTCATCTTCAACAGCAGTTTGTCCTAACCTTCCATCAGAAATGCTTTAACACACACTAATCTGGCTATCCTGAATTCCTCTTAAAATTTGTTAAACTGACTCAATTTGTTATGGCAGCAAACTGTGTTTATTTATTCTGTGCTACATAACAATTTATCAGCTCCTGCCTTATCAGTGAAGATAATTGTAATGCTGCGGTTTGCAAAGATCCCAAATTTCGTCTCATTCCTTCCTGCCTAGCAGCGTAGCCTGAGTAAGTAGGGGAGGGTTTCTAGTGTACATTGTGGTTTGCATACAAACTGCCATGAATATTCCAATGCTTATTGAAAATGTTAATGTGAAAGGGCATAAAAGGATACTTCCTCCAAAAACTGGGCTCTCCTAAGACATCAAGTGCAAAACTAACTCAGCGCTTCTGAAAATCTTGTCTAATATCCACACTTGTAACAATATTGTATGCCATGACATTATTTGGATTGATATAAATGGACACGCTTTTTATTTTAAAAGTAAACCTCAGTTTGGCTTTTAAGTAAGTAGCTGTAAATAAATGCTGGCGACCCTTTCTGAACTGATGCTGTGTTCAGACTGATACAGAAGTCTGTTTTGCATTGCAGCCGAGCAGAGGTGGGGCCAGGCCACACATAACATCACAAGTGAGCACCTCAGCGTGATTAAGCTCCACCAGATTTTGTGTTGCTGTGTTTCTCTGTAATGTGGACCAGAAAAGATTGGCTGAGCGACTAGAAAAGACATATTTGTTTCTTTAGAAATAGTGAACAATCAAAATTGTAAGAAGAGTTTGACTAGAATTAGATTATGGTTTGGAGGGATGATGTCTTCAATAGAAACTGGCCTTTTAATCGCTGCCTCTGTTAAGAGAGAAAATCAGTTTTCTCTTTTTCCCTTTGTTTGCTGCCTCAGGGTGGGGAAGGGGAGGAAAATGGAGGGATGGAAGAGAAACATACCAAATGGCTGAAAACCTTAAAAAAATGTGGGTATATTCCATTTTCCGTTAGAATTGGGAGCTTAGAAAGATTTGCGGGGAAATGAGAATGTGCCTTTTCTACTGTTTACAGTGAAACATTATTCCAGCCATGTAAGCCTCCCTGCTTTTGGGTTGCCGTGCTGCTGGAGATGTTTGGTTTTTTGGATGAGAAGAAAAACTGATATCCTAACTGGTTGTGGTTATTTGAAAATGTTTTCACAAAAATTTAGCCCTGTTTCATCCCTGTGTCTTGGCCCAACGCTCGTCTGGGAACTTCTGTCTGCCTGGAGTCATGTTTAGCTTCAGTGTCTTACCCCTTCTGCCACAAATATAATAATGTTGTAAGTACTGTTGTAAGGGGCTGCATTTTGACCCCAAAGAGGCAGGTTTCTAAGTGGCGACGGAAACAATCCTCTGTCTACATGGCTCTATGTCTCTTGGGGGTCCTTTGTTATCATTTTAATAAACCTGCTAAGGTACCATGGCAACTGGGTGTGATAACAACAGCCAAAGCAGGCTCAGATGGAAGAAATCCTATGCAGGATAGAATATAATTTCATTTCTTTTTTGAGTATTTGCCATCTTTGGTGCTGTGTACAATGTGGATTTTTCCATTTGCAAACCAAGGAAGGGTTTGTTTGTTCTAAGGCTGTTGCAAATCTGCTTGGTTGACTTCACAATTTCTGGAATAATCTCCAGCCTCTTGCATACAAAAGTATTTGAACTTTTGTGAATGTGGTTTGAGGGCGATGCACTTACAGGGGCAGGTAGGTGCCGAGCAGCAAAAAGCTGGCGGGGGGAGAAGGGATGTTGGTTTGATATTTTTTTTTCTTATTCTCTTTTTATTTTTTTTCTTGTTCTCTTTAGCCCAGTCGCACACATGAGTTCTTGTTCATTCTTCTGAAAGCCCTGCATACTTCCCGGAGGGTAGCATGTTCCCCATTTCCATTCCCCATTAATTTCCTCTCTATTGAGAATACCAATTAATGAAGATTACGACAATTTGAAAGGCTCTCTTACTTCTCCATCACTTTTGTGGCACATCTCATGCAAGCTGTCCCCAACCCTAATAAGCTGTGATGGGATCAGCCAAGAATCACCCCGTGCCTCCTTTCTTCTGTATTCTCTCTCTGTGCCGGGATGCAAAAAGAAAAGACAGAGAGGTCTGACTTTAATTGCTCAATATTGTGCACATAGGAGAAATCCTAAATTGTAAGTTAAACCCAGCTAGAGGGATATTTTGTATTGCAGGAGTGATGCAGTGAACTGTGAAACAGTTCAATATGTGTATGTACTTGCTTAGTTATCATTCATTTATTGTTGAAGCTGGTAGAAATTCCCTTCAGAAATTTAGCATTTGAATGGGAATGAAGATTTCTTAGTTTTCCAAAGGCTGGTGCATAGAAACCACGTAAATATTATTGATCTTATGTTATTTCTTCTAATGACTCGTTGAATTGCCCCTCACCTATGTTAGCATCTCTTTATTGACAGAGAGGTATGACATTGCCTGTGTGTGCAGAGCTTTTTTTTTTTTTTTCCTGCTCCCATATAGTAAGCGGTAATTGCCAAAGGAAAATGTTTCATGCGTTGGCAGTCATTCCATGTATTACGTTACCTGTTTTCTTTTGCAGGTTTCTAACTTATTCCTACCTTCTGGCCTTCAATGCGTGGCTCCTGCTGGCACCAATCACCCTGTGCTACGACTGGCAGGTCGGCAGCATCCCTTTGATTGAGTCCATCTGGGATGCGAGGAACTTAGCCACAGTGTTCCTGGTGCTGGTGATGACCTTACTCAGCCTACACTGCGTAGCTGCATTCAAGGTAATGCTGAAAGACACGCGATAACAACATTTTGTTTAAAATCTTTTGTTTCCTAATCTTCAGATGAAATGGTCAGTAAGTGCAAGTTTTCTTCTCAAATGCGTTGGATTGAGATGAAAAAACCATACTGCTACGTAACTAACGCAGGCAAGCCTAACAGATGAAATTGTCCCTCTAGTTGAATGTCTCGGTCTCTAATTGCTCTGATTTGAGGGCAAAACTTGGCCTGGAGTCCTGCATTCAATTACTGTTAATGATCCAAACCCCACTGAAATTGTTAAGTGTCTCTGCCTCTCCTATAGTCGTTAGGCTCTTTGTCACTTGCTTCAAACAGGACTGGGAACTGTCATCTGCAGAGCTGTTTGAAAATGAAATCAATTATTGTATTCATACCTTTGCTATGCTTCTAAAACCTAAATGCTGGATACATCTTGATGAGAAGATTTCCCATCAGTGGAGTAATGGAATGTGGGAAATCTGAAATGATCTGGGAATTGTTGTTTACCGTAAATAATACAGTTGGTAGGCCATGCTTCACAACTGAGCATTTCAGATCCACCATTAAACATAATGCAGAAATGAAAGTGAGCTTGTACTAGACTTGTTAGAGATCAGAGATGCACTTACATGGAAGGGATTTTTTTGTGGATCATAGGGAGTTACAAGCTATTCCTCCTTCAGTTGTGTTGTGGAAGCTTCTTTAGGAAAGGTGTTGGTAATTATTTCTGAAATAGTACAAAAGTTTATTTTCCTTAAACATATGTATTGCTGAAAAGCATAGTAGGGGATTGACAGGTTTTTAATACCTGTGTTATGCTGAAACATGCAGGTTGCGTACATGCTTCAGTCTACCCTGGCAGTCTTCTCTGTGCTCCTGATAAGAGACAGAAAATGAACCAAACAGTTTGAGACTGCAGAGTTACTAATTTAGATTATATATTGAAAGATGCTGTATGGGAAATATGGGAAAATACCCTATCATCTTGTATTCCTCCTACTTTCATTACTTACTGTTAGAGATATTCAGAAGTGTTTGTATTAGACCTAATCCTGTTCCCAGGGAAGTTAATGATAAAATTCTCATTAGCCCAGTACTGAACACTTCTGAAAAATCTTATCCTGCGTTCTTTGAAGTTTTGGTTGCTTTTTATTTCTTCTCCTGTTGTCGGAATTGGTACTATGTGTTAGATTGATGTTGTTGGTTTGCTGGGAAAAAAAATCTTTCAGGATTATCCAAAGACATTTTGTGTTATATTATTTTGGGTAAAACAATAATCCAGAAGGATTCCTTTGGGTGACTGAATTGTTTGTCTTCTGTCAAACTGCAAAACAAAATATTTCAAAACACTTTGCACATTAAATCTCTAGATTTTATCATATTTTTATTCCTTCTGTTTTTTCTCTTAAAGGCAAAACAATTCAGTCTGGATTTATGAATACCACTGTTTGATTTGAAACTGTGGCTTCTAATTTTTTGTTCACTGCTTTGCTCTTAACCACTTGTTAATGTTGCATTAAGCAACATGAAATTTGCTCTCCAGGCATTTACTTACTGGATGCTTTGAAATTAATCTTGTAGATTCCTTTGTGTTTATCCTTGAAAACCTAAACACAGAATAAATTGGATCTGAAGTGATCTGCTTTTGTGTCTAACCCAAGTAAAACTAGAACCATTGCCCACTCTTGACAAAGTGCTCTAATCAGTCTCTGCTCGCAGCCTCCCAGCAAACCCACTGTGAACATGGAACTGGTAAAGGTTCCTGGGGGTCAATTTGGACATGCTTCCCCCAGCCCTGGGGGAATTCAGAAATTTCTGAAGCTATTTTCTATTTTATTTTTAATGACTGTCATAACAACCCAATTGAGATACTGCCATTAAGTGGTATGAAGAGGATTGTGTCGTGCCGAGTAGTATGAATTATTGAGGAAAGCAAACAGTAGGAAGAGGCACATTTCCTGCAAATAAATTGCCCCGTTCGGCTTCGGACACTCTCAGGAATGTCTTCTACAGTGAGGAGAGGGAAGTTCAGGACACATGAACTGCAGGCACAATTCATTATATTAGGCTCTTAAGAAAGCTGCTTTCCAAATGCAACGGCAGTGGCCTTTCACATGATGTTGCTCCCCCCAAGAAGGATCATCCTTCAGCCAAGACTCAGAGAGGCTATTTCTTGGTATTTTGCAGCAGCATGAGACGCATCAGTTGATTTTTCGTGTTTCATAAAGTGTAAGATGTTCTGCTTGCTTTTTGAAGCAAACACACAAAACTGTCTTAGCAGCCATTTTTCTCTCCTTTTCCATTGTGAAGTCTAACCTGGAAGCAATAGCTTGCAGTTTTCTAAGGCATGGTTTTGGTGAACAGGCAAGCAGTTTGTGTGCCTTTTGTTTGAGTGTGTAGGTGTGCAGGGCTAAGAGAGGACAAAACCTCATATTCATTGTCATTGGCGTTAACACTTTGCTTTCTGTGGCATGTAGAATGGAAATCCTAGAAATTATTTTGGCAGAAGTGAAGATACTTGTGCAGTGAACACTGAACTGATTTTCACTGGCAAGAGGCAATGCATGTGCATCCACAAAACAAACTCACAGGAGACTCGCAGAATATATTACATGGACTGTAATTAGAGAGTGCATGTATTGGATTTCTGCCTTTGTTGCTATTGAATTTTAAACAGGGCTAATTTGTTGTTGATGTTTGTGATTAGGGTAATAACCCTGTTGGCATGTATGTGTAGTGCTGATAAAGGACATCTAAGGCATGAAGCTTTCTTGTTCCATTTCATTTTGTGAACGTTATTATACTTCAGAAGAAGAAAAAGTGCTTTGCTTGGAACATGTCTCTTACTAGATGGAGGTTTTTATGCTGAAAACTGCAGAAACAGAGAAGGCAGCTCTCCAGTTCGGTATTGTTTGGAGAGAGAAGCCTCCCTCCTCATGCTCCTCGTGTACTTTCACTGTTGTTCTCCTTCTTACATAATGAGGAAGTCGCTTGAAAAATTGCTTTGTTAATTCCTTCTATATGACTTTCATTTGCTGGGTCATTTCATGTGCAGAGTGCTAATCCCTCTTGCTTATCGGCCAAAGAGCTCCCCGTGAGCAGCTCCCCAAGAAGGACTTGTTGCTCTGCACAGTGTTTAGGTGCACACCCACGCTTGCCTTTTGCCGCAGCCATCCCTATCACATGTGACATTTAATTAAGGTCTTCAGGGGGCCTGACAGGGCTAAAGAAATGGCCTGCTCCTTGGAGCACCTCCTACTGTGAGAGTAAAGGACCTTGCTGTCACCTCTGGCCAAGATTTTTTTTTAGTGACTAACGTGGCAAAGTTGCAGTCCATTGTTAAGCAGCTCTTTGAAACCTTTTGAGACTTGATTTTTCACCATGCAGATGCCCAGCATGCTCTGCAAATTGGCCCCTTTTGAGCTGTTCTAGCCAAGGCACCAGGAGCCACCGGCGGGTCTCAAAATCCTCAGGTTCTGCACAGCTCTGTGGTGAATTCCTCATCCAGTCTGGTTGGGCTTTGAGTAGCATACCAGGGGTGTGACAAAGTCTGGGGATGCTATTGCAAATGCCTGCATCCCAGAGAAATGGTAATAATTGGGGAAAAAAGAGGATAAGGTTTGTTTATTGTTCATTTTCAAAGTCAGCCTCAGCTGCAAGGAATGGAGGTGGTCTGTCTGCCAGCTTTGGAGCTAGGTAGATTAAAGTTACCAGTGAAATGGATGAAGCACTCTTTTTTTGGTTGCCAAGCACCCAGTTACAAGGCCAGAGAAATAATCTGTCTGCTGCTTCAAATGGCCACTAGCGTACCCAAGGGCCCATAGTGCTGCCTTTTTATGCTGGAAGAAATGGCGAGCACCTGGTGAGCCAGAAGGAACACAACAATTCTTGGCGTATCATCAGCACGACAGTTATTTCTTTGACGTCATAATAATTCTATGAGCATGAAAGGAAAACCCTTCAGATGTTTGAAACGCCACTGTGCGTGGCATTTTTAGGTTGCTGCTTAATTAGCAGTGTGATTAAAATGCAGCTTGTCCTGTAGTTGTGGCTGTGAACATATGTACAGAGCACATGATGGATCGGGTAACACATTCTGTGTGGTACCTGGTATATGGAGGGCTGATAGTGGGAAAACTCATGTGTGTGCGATGGGGTAATTTAGAGCAAGGTGATCTGGAAAACTAATTTGAAACAGTAGCTTTTGTACTGGACTAGTCTGGGGGAATTTATTGCACCTCGTATTGCTTGGCCCTCATCTTGCATTTGTACTCACGACCAGTGCTATGGAGGTACCTTATGGTG